CCCACTCTTTATAATTTATTTTTTTATTTATTTTTTTTTTTTTTTTTTTTTTTTTTTTTTCTCGAAATTTTTTTTTTTTTTTTTTTTTCTTTCCCCCCCCCCCCCCTTCCATATTATTTTTTTCTTGATTAGGTCGCCGCTACCCTCCCCTAACCTCTTAAACTCTGGTTAGGGTTTTTCTAGGGTTTATGGTTTTTCTAAACCCCCTACTCTCCCGCCTCCTCCCGTCGGGCACCCTGGACCCGAACGGCTCCTCCCCCCTCGAGCGATTTGGCGCGTTCTTTTCACGCGCGACCCGCCAAATCCGGGGTGAGCCGACTCACACATACTCACTCCGCTCTCGCGGTCCTATTCCTCTTATCGGCGGGCCCCTCTCCCCCCACACCCCCGTGAGCTCTACCTCCCTTTCCCTTCCGACTATGGAAGGGAGTTCCTTTGAAGAGATCACCGCGGCGCCGTCCACCTCCCAGGTGAGCGTTCAGCCAGCGGGTCAGGGTCAGGCCTATGCGGACACGATGGACCTTCATGCCACCCCGGTAGCGATTCAGGCGCAACTTAGTACGCTTGGACCGTTGCAAGCGCAAATCAATGCGCTTGCCCTTGACGTCAACCGCCTCAAGGGCTCTCCTCATCACTCTCCCCACCGCTCCCATACCCCATCCCCTACCGGCTCCGAGTCCGGCTCCCCACGACTCCAGAATCGGAGACATCGTGGTTTCCCCTCCTCTACGGGCCAGGCCCAACACTACCCCGCAGCAGTGGCGAGTGCTGCTGCCGCTCAGACCACATCGTCTGTTGCGGCAGTTCTCCCGGTCACGGCCGTCCCTACCGTCTCTACTACTGCCGTAGGTGCTGCGGTCCAGGTACCGCCTCGAGGCCCAGCAGTTTCATCGACCCACACCGGTGTTGCTTCCCAGCTTCCCGCACCGGTCGCGGCAATACGGCTCCGCCCTCTTCTTCACGCCTTTGTCCCCCCACCCCCACAGCAGGGTACCGCCCAGACTGGGATTCCTCGTCCCACTGGTAGACCCGCTCCGCCCCCTTCACCTCCGACCCCGCGCACCCTGCGCGTGACCACTTTACAGGCCACCATTGCGCAGGCTCAGGCGGAAATTCTCGCTCTGAGACAGCCTCACCCATCACAGGCTGCCCACCCTTCTTCCTTTACCACCCCTTCGATCCCCATGATGCAGGCTCGTTTCCCTCGACCTGCTCCTCAGCCTCTTCCCTCCTACCTGGCTATTCCGGGACAGCTGCCCGCAGGCGTTGTCTCCTCATCTGCTGACCCATCTGCTAGCGGCCACGGCCCACAGCCTTTCCCCACCTCTGCCCCTGCAGCGACCTCGACTTACGCTGCCGCAGTGCACTCGCCTCGATCTCTCTCCCCTCGCCAGCAGCACAGTGGACATCCCCCTGTGCGCACCACGGACATTCCCGAGTATGATGGCACAACCCGTGTCTCTCGCTGGTTGCAGATAGCAACGCGCACGCTCTCTATGACGACCACCCGTCAGGAGTTGTGGTGCGATGTGCTCGCAACCAAATTGCGAGGTAGCCCTTCCACTGCGTGGGAGGATCATTATACCCAGCGTCTCCGCGTGGGTGAGGTCCCTACTCTGGCCCACTTCGCGGCCTTCCTTCAGGACCGTTCCGGCGCTCGTCATGACGTCACCGACACCTTAGACCGCGTCACCCAGACCAGATAGTCTGGGTCCTCTGTACCGGCCGACCTGGAACGTCACATCCGGGTGTTTCAGGACGCTCCCCTTGTTTGTGATGAGACGTTCCTACCGGAGGTCACACTCACCGACCGGTTCCTTGTCAGCCTGGCGACTGACTATCGCCTAGAGCTATGGAGGCGATCATTCTCTTTCGCGGATCAGGCATACGAGGCTGCGCGTCAGTACCAGAGGATGTGCAGTCGCGTCTCCGTCGCCCCATTCTCTTCGCGGCCAGCCGCCACCTCTCAGTCTCGGGGTACCACCCGAGGTCGCTCCTCGTTTGCTGGTCGTTTTCATCGCCCGACCCGCCCTGGAGCGTCATTCTCTCAGCGCTACAGTTCTCTGGAGTACGGCGAGGACGCCTCGGCCGAGTTTGACCCTCCCCTTGGGGACGCCCCCGAGGACATCGAGCTACGAGACGTCATCCAGTATCACTTGGATGACGACACTGTTCCGGTGGCCGAGCGCTTGCTGATGGTCATGCCTGCCATGGGTCGTGCTCGTGGTCGGGTTGCACAGGCTGGCGCCCGCACACCCACGGTTCCTCAGATAGACCTCCCGCAGGGTTATGTCCCTCCTTGCGGAGCTCTATCCCCTGAGGAGCGTGCCGCCCTCGAGGCCCGACGCGGCTGCCTTCGTTGCCGCCTAGATGGACACACCTCCTCACAGTGTCCATACCATACCGCCCTCGATCGGCACTACGCTGACATCTCTCGTCAGCGTCGATCTCAGTCCCCCCCCAACCCCGCCCGACCAGCCCCATCCACCTAGCCACGGTGCACTGTGCCCCTGAGGCCTCGCACGTAGCCGGTTTTCCGACCCCTGAGTCGCGGTTTGCCCCTTTGGCTACCCCACCAGAGGACCCTCAGGACAAGACGCAGTTGTCTCCGCCCCATCGTCTATCGAGGTACTGTCTGCCTCCCAGCAGACTGCCGCATCTACAGTCCGTTGTGGCGCTCAGCTGGCGACTCGCGATGACGTTGTGTCATCTCTCCTGGACTTGAGCATTCTGCAGGCTCGTCAGGACCGCCTCACGAGACACATCAACGTCCTGTGTCGTCTTCTCGCCTTGCTCTCTGACCCTAATCGCACCCTACCCATCATCCCTATTCGCCTAGGGACATCTACGAGGGTGTACCGCGCTATATGGGACTCTGGCTCGCAGGGAGATTTCGTTCACCCTCGAGTGGTTGAGGAAGCTCGCCTAGCTACCTCTGGGTCTCGCTCTCCTATCTCCGTTACCCTCGGAGATAACAAGCCGCAACGCTTCTTCGATCAGACGGTCCCCGACCTCCACTTCTCCCTCACCCTCCAGCCACCGGATAGTACTCAGGCGCCTCGACACTACCATTCCTCCGCCTACTTCGACGTGCTGGAGACTGGGTACGACTCTATCCTTGGCACTCCCTGGTCTCGCCGGTTCCGTAGCACAGAGGCTGAATGGGCGTTTGAGACACTCATTCTCAAAACGAAGTGTGGTCAACCCATCGAGTTCCCTTCATTGGAACCACGGGCGACACCCCTCCAAACCTACCTCCCCAGGACCCTCGTCCTTCTGGGTCCCACCCAGACATCTCCTTTACTTCTCCCCATCAGTTTGCTCACTTCATCCGACAGGAGGACGTCACACTCTACTCAGTGAACGTCATGGATCTTCTTCGCTACGATCCACTCTGTCCCGAGGTTGAGCTCATCTCACTGGAGCCCGATCCCCCTGACCCTCCCTCCATCTTCGCGGCTCCCATCTCTACATCCACCCCGCAGCCTGCGGATACCCCCTCGACATCCCAGGTTCCTACGCCGTCCATTGCCGAGTCCACCCATACGTCTCGTGCCGACGCAGACGTTGAGGAACTCATGCAGTTCACGGCTGACTTAGAGCCCGTCATTCGCGACCTGATTCGGGAGTACCGCGACGTCTTCCCCCCGTATTTCTCATAGTGCGGGATTCCCCCGATGCGCGGTGTCGAGCATTTCATCCAGCCCGTGCCTGATTATCGTGTTCACCATCAGGCACCATACCGGCTCTCGATTCCAGAGGCGACGGAAATCAAGCGTCAGCTTGAGGAGCTCCTTCGACTTGGTTTCATTAAACCTAGTAACTTCCCTTGGGGTGCACCTGTCCTCTTTGCTCGCAAAGCGGACGGAACTCTCCGCCTCTGCATCGATTATCGTGGCCTTAACCGTTACACGGTTAAGAACAGCTATCCCATACCCCGCGCGGATGAGCTGTTTGACCGTCTGGAAGGCAACCGCTTCTTCACGAAGATCGATCTTCGTAGCGGTTACCACCAGATCCGCGTTGCCGCAGAGGACCAGCCGAAGACCGCCTTTCGGTCGC